GGGGGGGGGGGGGGGGGGGGGGGGGGGGGGGGGGGGGGGGGGGGAAGGGAGAGGAAGGCGACGGAGATGGAGGAACCTCGGAAGAGGGCGGGGGCAGAAACGAGTGACCCAGGGCGTAGACTGCCCCTCCTCTGCAACGCCATCTCAATCTTACTGCTCACTCTCCCAATCACTCTCTCTCACTCTCTCTCCCACTCTCTCTCTCTCTCCCTCACTCATTCTCCTCTTCTCTTTCCTCCTCTGTTGCCCTCAACGCGGAACGCTCACAACTAACACCACTAACACCACTAACACGACTCCCGTCCACTTCTGAAAAAAGGTGCACCGGGTGCCTCATCGTACCTCTCCCCCCCTTCAATAACTCACAAATACTAATCCCCAGTTCATCCTGTCTAATCAAACCCCATTAGATCTCATTACGTCCACCGTCCATTTCCTATTACCCCCATCCGTGCCAAACCCATTCCCCATGGGTCGCCGCGCCCCAGTCAGCATGACGTTAATCCCACCTTATATCCCTCCCTCCTTCGGCTCATGCGTGCCCGTGCCTTGCCCTTCTCCCCCGTAACAGCCACGTCACGTGCGGCTCTCGTCATCCGCCGATCCTCATCCAGTCATCCGGTCATCCGCTACACACTTGGCGCGTCCAGTGCCTCTTCCTGAACGTGGCACTCAAGACGCCGACGGACAAATATCTTCCAAACATATCTTTGCGTCGCACCTCTCGTCGCCGCCAGTCTCAGATACCGACACGATGCCAAGACCACGACGAGGTCTGCAAGCTGCCAAGCCCCTTGAATCCTCAGGAACTCGGTCGCTATCCCCGGCACAGGCCTTGCCCCCCAGTCTCCTAGCCTCCTGGCCCACGGCCCATGGCCTCCTTCTGCCTGATCACTCCGTTGTTCTACTCTTTCTGTCCTTGGTCTGTGGGGCGCGGAATCCGGTCCTTGGCGCCCCGGGTCTCGACCGTGCATCAAAACTTTCTCTTCTCCATCTTGCTTTCTCCGTGTCGTGGAGCGACCAACCGCGCCGACTGCATGCGCGTCGGCTTCCCGTGCTCTGTGGCGCAGTGGAGGCGTTGACTCAGCAAGAAGCACAGCAGCTTCCAGCCCAAGCCTGAGCCTGAGCCCGCAAGCCAATCTCGCCATTTCGCGCCGGATGTACAGTAGCAGGTGTGCGCCACGGTGACTGATTGCGGGACCCTGGCCCACGCGTCGTGCCTAGACATACCGGCGGCGCGAGGATAGCCAGGCGCGTGCGGGTCTGGGCATGTCGGACCTGGCCAAGCGAGAAGCCGAGGTTTGGCGACCAAGCGAGGAGGCGAGCGTGCAGGAGACAAAGCGCGATCCGTGCGTTCCCCGACGAACAGAGCCAGGCCGCGACCGTGTCCATGCTTGCACAGCACGTCGCTACTGCCTGTCTGTTGCGGACACTCGGCGCCAGGTCTACTGCTCCGCTCCAAAGCCTTCCCGTTGTGGGGTCGCCCGAAAAGACAGAAGGGGCCGTACACAGCGTGCACGTAACAGTACCGAGACGGTCAGCGTGAATTTCGAACCTTCCCCCGAGTGGACAACGAGATTCCAAAAGGCTCGTTTGGGCGCCGTGGCACTGCGCCTCGCACAAGCGAGCCGCACCCTCTCCGGTCCCGTGAAACAATGAGATTCGCAAGGTCGTGTATGGCGTAAGACGGATCGAGGACGAAGGCTCGGGCACCGGGGATGCGGGCAAGGCAGAGGGAAAAGGGGCAGTAGAAGCTCGCGTGGCGGATTAGATCTGGAGGGTTGTCGTCCGTGCAGCCTGTGCGTCGCGTACGTCGCCACCATGAGGCGGCTGTCTCCGAATGATTGCGGCCTCCGACTGCCCTCTCCGAATCTGACGACGACGATCATGCAGATTCCGTGCTCTGTGAATGTGCACGAAATGGTCATTTGAAGGTGTGCCGATAGGGTGCTTGGGTCTCGGAACTGCGGATTTCCGGGGGGAGAGCTCGTATCAATACGCAAGCATCAGGAGCGTTTGATCTCTGCTGATCTGTTCAGTGCAACGTGTTCCTCACCCGCACTGCATCATGCCAACTGGCGCGAGACATAGTAGTACAGAAGCTTGATTGGCCATGAACCTATAAGCAAAACGCCGGTATGCTGTCATATTGCTGCTTGTCGCCTGCGTTATCAGGTGAGCCGGGTACACGACCGTCATGCAGAGAAGCAAAGACTCTGGCAACCATTCCCTCAGTCCACCGTGACGTAGTCCGGCGCTGAGTCTTTAGACGCCGCAAGAGGCCGCAACGGAGCCTCACTCCCGCAGACAAGCGCCTGGGCCGAGACGCGAGTGCACACGGTGCACTCACGCCCTCACGTGCATCGACAGCGCGTTTAGACGTGCTGGCACGTACCTCAAGACTCGGGCCGCACGCTTGCCTTATCCAAGTCGCGCCGCGGTGGTCCCATAGAACGAGGCCACAAGCTCAGCGCTCGACGCTCGCCAGCACCGTGCGCGGCGCCTTCGGCGAGTCGCTCACGGTGGACAGCCATCGGACTGCGTTCCCGGACTCGGGCGGCACTGCGCGGCTGTAAAAGCTGGCAAGAGACCGAAGACGTTCACCGCGCGAGCTCGCAATTTGCCGGCGCTTCCATAGTCTGAGAGCGGTGCAAAAGTGTCACATGTGCTGCTTCATCAGTGCTGAACCAGGTACTTGCAAGGTGTCCCCTTGCCCGGCTCCCTCCTTTGCACGCAGGCAGTTGTGGGGAACCCGGAGATACGTTGGGAATGTAGCGCTGAACGGTGTGGCGGGTCAGCAGTTCAATTTGGAACATGCATAAACTCTTTGCCTTGGTCCGATGCTATGAGGGCATGAGCACATGGCACGAGCAAAGTGGCAGATCGGAAAGGACCATGGCTTGGTGCACAGCTGCACACAAGAGGAAGTTTGAGTGGATGACATGTGTAACGACGGTCTCCACGCTCTCGTCAAAATAATTCGTACAGATCTCACGGTGCTCGTGGCATCGTGGATCCTCTGTGTGTCACACCTCGTAGCGCAGAAGCCAGATACCCAGGGAGTTGGCATCCGCGATTCCATGTCATCTATCAAATATCAACGCCGGTGCCAACGTCGGTCAAGAGCGTTCCTCTACTCCGCCACTCCTCCATCGTGCCAACCAATCTCCTCCGTTAACCCTGGCCCCTTCCTCGCACCAGGGGCCCATCTATACTCTGCAGCAAAAACAGTTGGCTGCTTCTCGCAGTCTACCATACACCAGGAGGGAGTCGAACCCCCGCCGCGTCGATGGCAACGACGCATGATACCGTTTCACCACTGGTGTTGGTGTGTTGGGGTTCAATTAGTCTTTATTTAGAGTCGGAGGCACCGGGCGTAGTGAGGATCAATGCAAGCTATGCAGACGCCATACACTGCCAGGAGACAGGGGGTTGAGTGCAGGAGGGGCACCCGGGTACCGACTGCGGCAGCGTGGCGTTGATGCAGTGATGTGTTGAATGTGCACGACGAGGGGCGGAGACTGACACTGTGCAGAGTCACCAGGTAGCAGCACTCCGCTGATCGTATTCGGGAGGTTGCAGTTCTAAGGTGAATGACAGGGTAGGGTGACTGAGGGGAGTTGATCGTGATTTCGTCCGATTTCGCAGTCTGCATCACCGACAACCGCGCGACCCCTTCCATGTCGAGACAACGCTATGAGCGATTAATGTACGATAATGTCATGCCATGGATATCCCAACCCCGCTCCAGCCTCCCCGCGCCTCAGCGCCCTCGCCATACAAACTTATCAGCCTTGTGTCCACGCTCCTGCCCGGGCCCCGTGCCATGTCCCTCAGCCCAGCACGCGCGGCAATACAGGTCGCCGTCGCAGCCGCGGCAGCGCAGCTCGGCGTCCTTGTTGCAGATACCTGGGGTCAGCGTGAGCAATGGAAGACTGTTGAACAGCTGCTGGAAAGCGGTGCGGCGAAAAAGCTGCTAGATGGCGGACTCGGGAGTCTGTCGAGACATGGCCGGTGCCACAATGCAAAACCGAGGCGAGAGAAGCGAGAACAGCAACAGAACTAGCTGACGAACGCCGTGGCGCATTCCTCGGCCGGCGGCGTTCGCCAGCCTCGCCGACCTCTACCGGGAAGACATCTCTCCGCCACCCCCGCCATTCCCGCCTCCCCCGCCTCCTCAGGACTCACTGCACCAACTATCCAGATCGTCGTCCCGGCCATCCTCGTACCCCGGAATGCCCCACCCTTGTCCGGGGGCGCGTGGTGGCGGCCCCATCCCCTTCTCCTCCTTCTTGGGCTCGCGGCGGGGCACAGCGGGAAAATTGGAGGGGCCGCGCAGCCCGCTGAGCAGGTCCATGCGCGCCTTCATGTCAGCGGGCACGTCGTCGTCGTCTTGCAGCTCGGGCAGCGGCCGGGAGAGGGAGGAGAGCGCGGCGAGCGCGGCCGCCATCTCGGGATCTGGAGACGGATCTAGGAGCCCCGGTGCACGGACGGGGGCGACACGGGCCTGAGGAAGATGTGAGGCGGTCGGACTCGGCGCTGTTTCGTCGTCGGAGAGCGCGGCCTCCGCCAGGGCGCGCTCGAGGGTCGAGGCCGCCGTGCCGCCCTCTCCGTCGTCGTCAGGTTGGGGGTTATGCCTCAATTCTGTCTCTGTGACAGTTGGCTCCGACGCCGTCGTGTATCGTCGGGCCTCGTCGAGGAGCGTACTCGCATCGCGCTCTAGTCCCCCAGGCTCGAGGTAGTCGACTTCAAGGCTGTCACTCCCTATGCTGGCCAGCAGGGCCTCAAGATCGTCATCGTCATCCGGAGCCGAGGGGAGGGCGTGTGCAAGCTTGTCGAGGGCTATATCATCGTCGGCCGCGGACTGGGCTGCGGCCGCAAGCCCGGTGGAGGCGCGGGGGGACACAGGTCCGGCCGACACGCCCTTGAGTGCGTTGAGGCGCGCGACGAGGTCGTCGTCCATTGAAGTTGGAAGTTGGACGGGGTGGACGGACGGCGGAACGGTGAATTGCGTCACGCGTCATACCGCGTCGACCTCCACCTCGGATCTCGGAGTCATCGCTCTGTCCGCTGTATTTTTGGAGTGCTTCTGCCATTCTCAATATCCCACTATCTCTACCAATCGTCCGCGCCCGTCACGTCTCCGTCGTCTTCCGCTGATCTTGTCAGCCGGTGGATTGTATCTGGGACGGTGGAACGGTGAAATCATGCACGCGAGTGGAGGTTTGTGCTCTTAGCCATGTACCGCACACGGTACACGGTAGAACAATCTCGATCACAACGTGGTCATGACGCCGGCGCCGCTCATCCGGAGCTCGACACCCCGCCCTGCAACGAGCAGGCTTGGCTTGCAACTAGCTGCCCCCCGAGATTCGCTCACCCTCGAACGCGTGACGGGCCTTCCCTTCCTAGACTGTGGCACACCTCTTTGCAAAGCTGAACCACGAACTCACATCGCGTTGGTCTCGCGACACACCAGCAGTGGCCCCCGAAGAGCCCCGCACCCCACCTCCTCCCCCGCTCCCACTCCCACGCACTGTAAGTCTACGTCCGCCCAATCCGCGCCCGCTCATTGTCACGGAGGCCGTGTGGAGGCACGTCTGATGCTATAGCCGGGCTGGAAATCGAAATGTTCAGTCGCTCAGTTCGAAATCAGGATGGAGGAATAGGGGAGGTGTATAACGCCGAATCTCGGCCGTGCGTCTCGGTCTCCTCCCTCTGCTCCCTTGCCTCGTGTGCCGAGGTGATATGGCGTGTCAGTGGTGCATGTTTGGACAACGGGAACTAGGAACGAGCTCGCTCAGCGTATCGGATGCAGTGGGAGGATACGCGGTATATGCGGGGTCGGAACGCTACGACGTCGAGCTTGCCAAGCAGGGGGTTAGAGGGCTAGAGGCCGATGTAGGCCGAGATGAGATGGTGGTGAGGGGCGCGTCAGCCAGTCAGCTGTGATGGCGGGAGAGGAGAAGCGGCATTGGCAGCCCAGCAGCGGCGTGAGAGAGGCTTGAGGCTTGGATGGGACCTCGGACCTAGACGTGGCTCTCGTCGCTGCCGCCTGGCCACCTGATGATGGCGTGGTGCAAAAGTCTTGACATGGATCCAAGAAAGGATCGGGTGGCCCCTCATTGTTGCCCCTGAAGTATCCACACATCTCCGCACATGGGCCCCTCTTGCCCGGCAAAGTGACGTTGCCGAGTAGATGGGAAAAAGCTAATTGGCTGATTACAAAAATGATGATGGCATCAAACAAGGGATGTGGCGCCGCAGCGAGATGTGCCGCCGGACAAATCCATCTCTCTCTCTCATCAGCATCCTGCTGCTACTGCTCACCAGACCAGGACTGACTGACCTCTCTGTCATCCTCTGTGCTCCGCCCTCTCCTCCCTCTCCTCCCTCTCCTCCCTCTCCTCCCCCTCCTCCGCCCCTCTCCACCCTCTTGTTGGACAAGTCATACACCTACCTGCTCTGGCACTCGCAGACGATCTAGCCACCCTCTGGCGCGCACTCCGCCCGGACGGAAGGAACAAAGGCACCGCACCGACCGGACACCGGTCACTACTACTGGCCACTCACTACTGGCCAAGTGGTCGCGCGCAGAAAGACTGCACGGTCACTGGACGGTCACTCTCGCGACCTGGTGGAGGCGGCACTGCACCTCGTCGTCACCCCACAAGGCATGGCCCCTCTCAACGCTCCTCCTCCTCCTCCTCCTCCTCCTCCTCTCCCCTCTCCCTCACTCCACCCGACTGGCTCCTCTGTCCCTCGCCGCCGCTTTATAATCTCCCAGCACTCCCCTCTTGCTCCCACTTCCCCCTCCCAGCCCGTATCTCGCTCAACCTCGTCTCCATCACAACCTCACCCTACACACACACTCGCCTCCCCCACAGCCGCCACCACACACTACCCCCACTCCCACCCTCCGATGGCGACCAAGCCCTCTGCGCCCCCCGCTCCGGCGGGGACGCTCACCCCCACTGCCCCCGACGCGCCCAACGGTATCATGAGCCACTACCCCGCCGTGTTGCCCAAGCTGCCCCTCCCCACCATCGAGGACAGCTGCAGGCGCTACCTCGAGGCGCTTGAGGGTCTGCAGGATGAGGAGGAGCACACCAAGACCAAGACGATCGTCAAGGAGTTCCTTGAGAGCGGCGAGGGTCACAAGTGGCAGAAGAAGCTCGAGGAGTACAACGAGGGCGTCGACAGCTACATCGAGGAGTTCTGGTGTAAGTGATGATAGATAGCGGCGGCGAGACCGCCCCGCTCTCCCCCCAAGGCACTGCCCTAACGCCGCACAGACGAGAGCTACCTCTCCCACTCGGACTCGGTCGTGCTCTCTCTCAACCCCTTCTTCGTCCTCTCTTCCGACGTCACCCCCCGCAACGACCCCCAGCTCTCGCGCGCCTCCTCCCTCATCCTCTCCTCGCTCTATTTCATCCACGACCTGCGGAATGGCTACCTTGCCCCCGACGCCATCCGTGGCAACCAGCTTGACATGAGCCAGTACGAGAGATTGTTCGCCACGTGCCGTGCGCCCACCGAGCTCGGCTGCCGCATGGAGACCTACAACGAGTCGCGCCACATTGTCGTGCTTCGTCGCGGCCAGTTCTGTGAGTTTCATTTTGCCACCCTCCATCACATTCTCTCCCACTCCACATGGCGCATACTCCACACTCCTCCCTACACGCCCCCGCCGCCACCTCCACCAAACCGCCACCCGACACAGCTCCACGGCATACAGTTACTAACGCACAGACTGGTTCGACGTGCTCGACAACAAGAACCGTCCGCTGCTGTCTGACCGCGAGATCCTGACCAACCTGCAGGGTATCGTGTCGGACGCTGACAAGTTCCCCGTGTCCGAGACCTCGCAGAACGCCGTCGGTATTCTCACTACTGAAAACCGCAAGATCTGGTCCAAGCTTCGCAACGAGCTGCGCGAGTCGAACCGCCACAACGCCAAGTGCCTGTCGATCGTCGAGTCGGCGCTTTTCGTTGTGTGCCTCGACGACAGTGCGCCTGCCGACGTCGGCGAGCTCTGCTCCAACTTCCTTTGCGGTGGCTACCGCCTCGAGCATGGCGTCCAGGTCGGTACTTGCACGAACCGGTGGTACGACAAGCTGCAGATCATTGTGTGCGCGGACGGCGAGGCCGGCGTCAACTTTGAGCACACGGGTGTGGACGGCCACACAGTGCTGCGGTACGCGGCGGACATCTACACCGAGCTGGTGCTGCTGTTCGCCAAGTCGATCAACCCGTCCACGCCGTCGCTGTTCAAGGCCAAGCCTTCGCCGTTCGCCAAGGGCTCCAAGACGCCGCGCGACGCCGACGACATCATTGACTGGGAGTACGACACGAGCCCCAAGAAGCTCGACTGGCGCCTCACGCGCGACCTCAAGCTCGGCGTGCGCTTCGCCGAGACGCGCATCTCGGACCTCATCTGCCAGAACGACTCCAAGGCCCTCGAGTTCCGCGGCTACGGCGCAAACTTCATCAAGCGCCACGGCTTCTCGCCCGACGCCTTCGTTCAGATGGCGTTCCAGGCTGCCTATTACTCGCTCTACGGCCGCGTTGAGAGCACGTACGAGCCTGCAATGACCAAAAGCTTCTTGCACGGACGCACGGAGGCGATCCGCACCGTGTCCGTCCCCTCTGTCAACTTCGTCAAGACATTCTGCTCCGAGACCGCGACGCCGGGCGAGAAGATCGAGGCCCTCCGTGCCGCATGCAAGCGCCACACCGACCTCACGCGCGAGGCTTCCGCCGGCAAGGGCCAAGACCGGCACCTGTACGCGATGTACTCGCTCATCCAGCGCGAGGTGCGGCACGCCGAGGCGTCAGGACAGACGCCGCCCCCCATCCCCGCCATCTTCACCGACCAGGGATACAGCGACCTGGGGTCGTCGACGCTCTCGACGTCCAACTGCGGCAACCCTGCGCTGCGCCTCTTCGGCTTCGGCCCCGTCACGCCCGAGGGCTACGGCATCGGCTACATCATCAAGGACGAGGGCATCAGCGTCTGCATGAGCTCCAAGCACCTGCAGACGCGCCGCCTGCTCAAGACCCTCCAGCACTACTTTATGGAGGTGCGCTCGCTGCTGATCCAGCTGTGGCGCGAGGCCAACGAGCGCCCCGAGGCCTTCATCGACCACTCGGGCGTCATGCGCGACGCCCGCACGGGCCGCCGCCTCAGCGACCATGAGATGGACGGCGTCGACGACGTCGTCGCCGACGAGGAGGAGCTCTTCGGCGGCTTCGGATACTTCGACGTCGGCACACCCACCATTCGCGACCAGACTCGCAAGCGCCGCCCTACCATCGGCAAGATGATTCCAGTTCAGGAGTATTAGTTTGGGTGTATGTTAGTTGTATCTGTAGCCAAGGATGTAGTCTTTCAACAAAGCGACGACACGTTTTCCGATCGAGCAGCGAGATACGGCATGACTGGAGGGGCATTGGTCAAGTAGTGCTCAAAGAACTTGACTACTGTAGAAACCATCAGAAGCTGAATCAGCCTCATTTGCTACCTAGCGTTCAAAACCCGGTCCACATGTACATGCCTATGATCTACATCCCCATGCCCCACCATCACTTGCCCGACCGGCGCTGCTTACGCTTCCGTCCAATCAAGCTGCCCAGGTGCGAGCCGAGCTTTTCGAGACCGCGCGGCTCATCCGCCTTCTCGGCCTTAGCCTTGGCCTCCGGCTTGTTCTCGCCCTTGCCCTTGGCCTTGCTCTTGCCGCCCTTCCTGTCCCGCTTCTCATCGTCTCCCCTCTCGCGCCTCTCCTTGCCCTTGCCGCTCTTCGAGTCACGGCGAGCCCGCTTGTTGTCGCGCTCATCGTCGCTGTCCTCGGCCTTGCGCTTGCCCTTGTCCCTGTCGCTGCTCTTGCGCTCGCCCCGCTCCGGCCGGTCGCGCGGGTTGGTCTTCTCCACTCGCCGCCGCACGACCTGCACGTTCTCGACCGAGAACTCGATCATGAGCGTCTTGCCGCCGCGCATGCCGCCGCCGCTGTGGTCGTCTCCCTCGGCCACTCGCGCATCCAGCTTCTTCAGGCGCGCCTCGAGCTCCTCTGCAGTCTCCTTGCCTTCCTTGCCACCCTTGACCGCAGCGAGCTCCTTGCGCGCGCGGTCACGGATGTCCACGAGCTCGGACGTCCACCACTCCCACAAGAGTGGGCCGACGGCGGGGTTGTTGTTCGCCCACCGCAGAACCTTGAGCGCCTCCTTGTGCGAGCGCAGCTCCAGGAAACCGTAGCCCTTGCTCCTTCCGCGGCCGATGAGAGGGTCGACCTTTTCGTTCTGTCGCACAATCTTCGACTGGACGACGGCGGTCTGACGCTCGCCCTTCTTCAATTTCCGCCCCTCGAGGGCCGGGGAGAGGGTGTCGTCGTCCGCCTCAATGCGGGTCAGACCCTCGCGCGTACCCGCCTTGACCTCGTCGTCGAAGGCGCGGACAGCGTAGATACCCAGACGCTTCAGACCACGGTCGGTAACGAATAGCGGAAGCTGGCGGATACTCAGACGCGTCTTTGAGATGTAGAGGGACGGGTTGGAGCGGAGAAGTGTTTTGCGGGCGTTGAATGCGGCCTGGCGCTTCTCGACCTCGGAGGCGGGGAGCGAGGCGGCCGCCGGCGAGTTCGGGAAGACAACACCCTCGCGCATGAGGTACGTGTTGCGCTTGTCGCCCTTCTCACGTGCGCGCTGGTTGTCCTCTGCAAGGTGGCCAGCCGTCTCACGCGTCACCGCGCGAGAGACGTTAAGCGTTCGCCCGTGCAAAACTAAACGAGATGCCAACGACGAGGAGGGGTCCGCTGTCAGCACGGAGGGAAGCGCGAAGGGATTCTTGCGCTCGCCTCCGGCCTTTCCTGGTGCAGCTGTTCCTGTCTCCCAAGCAACACGCTCGGCCTCCTCGATGGCGGCGTCCGCGTGCTCCTTGTTCCAGAAGCACACGAAACCTGTCCCGCGGGTGCGGCCCGTCGCCTTGTCCATCGTCACCTTGGCGTACCGGATTGGGCCGAAGGAGCGGAAGCTGGTGTTAGCTGCATACAGAGTATTTGAACTCACAGAGTGCCGACCTCCTGCTCTGTCGCCTCGTATGGCACGTTGCGGAGGAAGAGAGTGCTCCCGACATCGGTGTCGGGAAGCTTAGGCTTGGCGGCCTCCTCGTCGTCGTCATCGTCGTCCATCTCGTCATCGTCGTCATCCTCATCTTCGTCGTCGTCGTCGTCGTCGCTTTCCTCCTCACTGTCGTCGCTATCGGACTCCATGTCGATGTCGGCATCGACCTTGGCGGCGTCCTCTTCGCTCTCCTCCTCGTCGCTGTCGCTCGAGTCGCTCCCGCTTTCGCTAGAGTCACTGTCGCTGTCACTGCCACTCCCGCTCTCGTCCTCGCTCTCCTCCGTTTCCTCTTTCTTCTTGGCTCCCTCGAACTTCTCCTTGCTCATAGCCCAGTCGACAGCGACTGGTCGCCCATCGCCGACCTCGCCCTTCTTCGCCAGCCGTCCCTGCTTGCCCTTGGCGACCGCAGCGTTCGGGGCAGCCTTGATCGGCTTGCCATTAATAGCAGCCATGGCCTTCTCCGCGTCCTTGCGAGCCATAAACCACACAAAGGCAAACCCACGGGCGCGCGGGGGCGGCGCCGGCTTGCCGGGCTCTGTGGGGAGCTTGGACGGCAGCGTGGGAAGGTCGATGGCCTGGATCGGGCCAAAGGGCAAGAAAGTCGCGCGCAGGTCGGCCTCAGTCGTCTCCCACGCAAGGTTGCGCACGATCAGGCGGCCGGCGTGGCTCGGCGCCTTTCCTTCGCCCTTGCTGGATAGAACTGCGAGGCGTTTTTTGAGCACCGCAGAGAGCAGGGAGCCCTTGTAGGTGTGGCCGTGCAGCTTCGGGATGCCCTTGACGGCCTCGCCGTGTGTGGGGAAGACGAGGTTTGCGGTCGCATCCTCGCCCTCGACGGGAAACACGAGCTCAATGCCGGGGTGCACCTTGCGCACCTTCTTCCAGAGCACGGGTTTGGTGATGTCGGCCGGGAGGCCAGTGAGAACCACGGTGCGGATCGCATTTGGGTCGGCATCAACGGCTTCCTCGTCCCCAGCAGCGACACGGGCTTTCTTAGTGGGCCGCGCTTCCGTAACATCCTTGTCCGGCTGTTGTCAACTCTATCCATCTGCAGCCCGTCGTTCTCCACCCCCGCAATCCGACTCACTTTCTTGTCGGCCCACGACACACGAATTTTACGCCCCTTGGCGCCGAACTCGCTCCCGTTGAGCTCGGTAACGGCACGCTCAGCGTCCTCTTTCATTGCATAGGTAACGTAACCCACGCCCTTGGACTTGCCACTGTCGCGGTCCGTCGCGACGAAACCATGGCGCACCGGTCCGATGAACGAGAAATGCGTTACCAGGTCGGTCGAGGTAGCGTTGTAGGGGAGAGACGAGACGAAGAGCGTAGTCTGACCCTTGGGCTCGCGTACGCGCTGCGTCTTGGGTGTCGGCACCGGCGTGCCCTCGAGGGGAATGAAATCCGCGTCCATGGCGGCGATGTTGTTGATACTTCGTCTACGTGAAGGTCTGCACTTCAGAAATCTCTGGAGGAGTGATATGCCGGTGGAGGGCATGCACGTGGGCCACGTCATTTTACGGCCGGGCGATTTCGACGGTCGCCTTTCTCGAGATGTTCAGAGTCGAGAGTTCGGCTCAAGATCGCCTTCAGCACACCATCATGCTTTCACGGTACGCCGCGTCGGCGCTCTCGGCATCCTTTTCGCGCCTTGCGGTGCGCGCGCCCGTCGCCTCGACCTCGCGCGTCATCCGCCCCCACGCCCTCCCATCCCCGGTCGCCGCGCTTGCATCCCGGCCATTCTCCTCCACTCTTCCGGCACAGAAGTCGACTGTTGGACAAGGTTAGCATCTAGCTGATGCGGGTCACGAGGACTGCTGCATTTGTGGAGCTGCAGCATTTCATGCTCGCTCTCACGCTTCTGTTCACAGACTGGATACTAATTCTAGTCCTCCGCGGGTGCCGCAAGAAGATCGTCAAGCAGTCCAAGGCACCGCTCCTTGAGCAGTGCTTCCAGAAGAAGGGCGTCGTGAGCAAGGTCTACACCGTCAAGCCGCGTAAGCCCAACTCGGCCGTGCGTAAGGTGTGCAAGGTCAAGCTGTCGACGGGCCAGTCGTGCATCGCCTACATCCCGGGCGAGGGGCACAATCTGCAGGAACACCACGTCGTGCTCATTCGCGGAGGACGGACAAAGGATATTCCTGGTTGTCGGTGAGTTCTTGCGAGCTAGTGGGCGCGCGATAGGTTGGGGATCGGAGAGGTCGAGGAGTTCTTTGAGGCTTCTACGAAGATGGGGGAACGTTGCAGATGGCCCTCCACTTCGGCTGCGGAGACGTCGCATTATCGGTCTGTTGATCCCCCTCATACGAGGACTGATCTACTTTACCCGCTGCTTGCTTCAATGCGTCTGCCCCGTGATTGAGAGGTGCTTCGCAACAGCTGAACTAACCTCAGCTACAAGGTCGTCCGTGGCGCGCTCGACCTGAACGGTGTCGCGGGCCGCGTCTCTTCACGCTCCAAGTATGGCGTGAAGAAGCCGAAGAAGAACTAGACGTAGTAGAGGAGATGCACTATTCTAGATCGTTTGCAGGCGCGGGCGAATAGCAGACTGATGATTGCACAAAGTGCATGCTATGAGTTGTGTCCTATAACCCGAGAGCATCTAGCGTCTCTACCGTCAAGCGCGGTTTCTACAACGTGCGCTCCTCACTCCTCGTCTACTCGCCGCACTTCCTGCGGCGCTTTCCGCGGTTAGGAAAGGGCGTGATGGGCATCGGCTTGGGCGCCTTGATCGTCTCATTGTCACCGAGATCCGTGTCCTTGGTCACGCGCAGTTCTATCGTCAGTCTCCAGGTCGGGTGCGCATCTGAGAGCTCTCGTTCAGGCCTCAGAGGCCGTGGTTTATCGCTCAGCCCTCTCTCTGTCTTCTCATGCCTCTGCCAGCCTTCGCCCATCACTCTCCATCACGCGACACTCACTGAAAGTCCCAGACTCATCCTGCCGTCCCTGCACGACGTTCTTGCGCAGAAACGTTGCGACCTCCTTCCACTCCGCAATACGCTTCTGAATCTCCTCGGGCGCGGCAAAGTCCACGGGCGGACCCTCAAGCGGCTGCGCAGGTGGCTTGGACGGGTCGGTAAGGGTGGCCGACATGAAAGTTGGTCGGATGGCAGCCACGAACTGCGCGTGCCGAGTGGGATCGGCGTGGAAGGTGACGCGTGCGGCGCGGAGCACGTCGCGGTACGCGCTGCGCGCGGCGGGTCGGAGGGCGGCGGGGAACGACATGGCCACAAGGGAGGAGAGGATCAAGGAGATCAAATAGAGATGAAGAAGTCGGGAAAGTCAAGAGGCAAAAGGAGATTGGGCGGATTCCGGCCACGTGGGAGTGCGGGGAAGCGGAAGGCGTTGCGGGGTCGATAGCTCGGGCAGCCCATTTACGGATGGCCGATGGGGACAAGGCATGCGCCATTCATCACCATCACAACTCCATCTCCTTCATCTCTTCATCCTCTTTCAACTCTTGCTCTTGTTCATATCCAACACTTCATGTCATGAGCACCGCAGATCCACTCATCGCCCTGCCGGATGGCACATTTCCCCTCAAGTTCGCCGACAGTGCGCGTGACGCTCTGCGCGGCAAGAAGCGGCCTCACGACGATGTGGTGGCGCTCAAGTGTGAGTGGAACAGGCAAGGGGGCCTGAAATCCTACCGTTGTGTATTTGAAAAGCAGAGCTAACTCCAGATGCTTTCAAGCCGGCCAGCGTGGCGGCCGACACACCCGGTGTCCTCGAACCCGCGCCATCCGGCGTGACAGGAGGGCGCGTCCTCTCCTTCGACCTCAGCGTGAGCTATTTGTACCAGAGGCGGAGCTGATAGCAGTCGGGACAGAGCCAGGTGTTTGACGTGCGTGAAGAGAGCAGCAAGCCGCGCGAGTGTGTGCTCGTATGGAACGAGGACCAGCAGGTGCGAACTTACCCGGGTTCTTGCTCTTTCACCCTAACACCAGACATTCACGCTTCACGCCCTCCCCTCGACGCTGCACCTCACGCAGAACCGAACACTCTCGGCGCAGCGTGTGAACGGTGCTTTCCCTGCAGCAGAGCCGTCAGCCCCTCCCCCTGCGAAGAAGGCTAAGCGTGCTCCGACGGCAGGCAAGAGCGTAGCGCGCAAGCAGGTGCCCTCGGCGGCCGACTTGGACCCGGTCCTCCCCTCGTCTGAGGCGCCAAAGAAGGGCAAGGCGACCAAGAAGAAGGCTGCTCCCAAGAAGGCTGCACCTAAGAAGGCTGCCGCAAAGAAGAAGGGCCAGGCGCCAGTATCATCGCCGGCCCAGGGCAAGATCAAGTCTGTCGAGATTATCGAGGACAGCGACGACGACCTCGACGAGTTCGCGGACATGCTCGGCGATGCGATGGAGGCAGCAGAGAGCGAAGAGGAGGACGAGGTCGAGGAAGAAGACGACGACGAGCTCGGCGGTGCCCAGTACGCCGGGTACGCTGCCGCCGACGCCGAGGGCGACGAGGAGTGGATCTAGCTCATTACCCATTACAACTCCTCGGCTGCGGGTCCTGAAGCGCAGCCGCCTTGGCAAAGAGGCCGTCGGCCCTCGGCCACGCCACCGCCTCATTGCTGACCCATCATTATCTTCATTCATCCACACTGCCACCGCCCGCCTGCGCACATTGTATTTTTGAGCATGCATGTTGTACGAGAGCGACGTGGGTGTTCTGGAGATCTCATCTTATCCGCGCATGACGGCAGCGATGGGTCTAGGCAGGGTCCTAATAAGACGGAAGCAATTCTGAGAAGTGGTACGCCGCCACCCTCTTGAACCCCACCATCTCGGTCAATTGCTCCATCTCATCACACGTTTCCACAACTACAACCAACTCGCATCAACTCTTCTGCGCTCTCGAAGTCTGTTCGCTACACGCCAGAAGCAGACGTACTCCTCGCTCCACATTCTTCTCACTTCCAGCACCGCAGCGCACCGGCCCGCTCTACTATGGCCGCCCTTTCCCACTGGGCTTCGGCGTGAGTTCTTCCTTTCCTCGTCGTGTTCCTTTGTTCTCTCGTGACAACTGGACACGCCAGATGGGCTTCTAAGCTTTCAGTACTGATTACAGCGACACAACGTCAGGCTTAATGGCCGGTCGCCGCCAGAGCCGCGCAAGCTCGTTCCTAGGCCCGCCCCGTCTCTTCGCCCCCGCTTATTATCCAACTGTTCAACAAACTGTAGTCGTCGACGGCGCCCTTCCTGGCAGCGAGCCGAAGGATGAGGTCAAGGTTCGCAAGCGCGAGACCATCTTCGGGCCAGATGTTGGGGACGACGACCAGCCCGGCTGGACTGATGCCGGGGACGGCCACGCCGTCTCTGTCGACGTCATCAAACGCTGGGTCGACAAGGCGAAGGGCGAGGAGGTGAGTAAGGAAGTGAGCGGATTTGGAACTGGGGGCGTCCTGCGCCTCGCATCGTCATGCGACCGCAGGGCGCGGACGGATTATGAGAACGGCTTGCTTTGCCGCCATCACTCTCTCATCGACTTGCGCTCTGTTCTCGCTGGGTTTCAACCGTGCATCATGGCGCTAACCTGTAGGGTCTCCACTCTACGACCACCCTCCAGGCTCTCGTCAATCTCAAGCGCCCGTCGCTCCTGCTTCATCCACTCGAGCACGTTCCAGAGGCGGACGTGACGGCTGCGCCCGTGCCTCTCGCGCGGCCCCTGCACCTTCTCAAGTTCAACTACGATGTCATGACGCCACTGGTCAAGATCTCGCTCACGCTGCACCCCGCCCCGACCAACAAGAGCGGTGATAGACTCGAATCGGAGACGCCTCGGGTCATGTACACGGGAGTGCGCCCGGGTGGCTTCAACAAGTCGTTCGAGCTTCCAAGGGAGGCTGCGCTCGACTTGGACCATGCGATTGTGCCAATTCCCCTGGTCGAGGAGGCAATCGAGGAAGAAGATGACAAGAAGGCCCAAGCTCCCCGCGCGAGTGAGGACACCAGCCGCACTAGCGGCGAGCGCGTCGAGCCGGCCGTTCAGCCCGACCTTGCAGCCATTCCCGAGCTCAATCAGGAGCAGTCACAGCCTAGCCGCCGCTTCGGGCTGTTCCGTAGACAACGCGAGCCCGATCTCGAGGCCAACATTGAGATGATGGCGACCACCGAAGCGCCAGCTGAGGAAGAGAAGAAGGAAGAGAAAAAGGAAGATGAGCACGGTATGCGTCTCGTCATCTCGCTTGAGGGCCTTGGGCCTGAGGGCGAGCCGCTCCGCCGCCGCAATGCTCAGCTCACCCACATCCTCGTCAGCGGGACGTGGGTGCCGGATGCGGGATCGACCGCGCACTCTGGTACGGGCAAGCGCGTGTGGGTGGTTAAGGTCGTGCGCCGCGAGGCGCAGATCGGTCCCCACAGCTTCCTCCTCAAGGAGATCTACGGTCTCTCGTCCGCGGCTGGCGCGGACTCCAGCTACCCTCCCACTTCATCTGACCCTTACGCGTCCGCACCAAACGAGTGCATCGTTTGCCTCACCAGCCCGCGTGACGTCGTCCTCCTCCCATGCCGTCACCTTGTGGTGTGCCGGGAGTGTGCTGTTGGCATGGTCGAGTTCGGTGCGGGCGGCCGCGTGGCCAGACGCGACGACGACGCCCCAGCCGCGGCCGGAACTGAGGAAGTGCCGCAGATGGGCATGGGTGTGGGTGGAGGCATGGCGACGCCAGCACCGGCGCCAGCGCCCGCCCCGGCCCCAGCCCCTGCACCCCGCCGCAAGAAGAAGGCAAAGGGCTGGTACTGCCCCGTGTGCCGCCAGCCGTACACGTCGCTCCTCCGCCTTGCCCTACCACCGAGCAAGGAGAGCGGCACCGCTACTCCTGGCGTGATCGAACCGGGCGTCCAGCGTGCAGGGAGTATCCGCTCAATGCGTACCGCGCGCTCTACACGCTCGGTCGCGACGCTGCCCCCCGGCGCAGAGGAGATGCTCTCCGGCCTGGGCCCCGAGCTGAGCGACGACGACGAGGATGAGCGCGACCGCCAGCGCATTGAGGCGCGGGAGCGTGCCCAGGAGCTCGAGCGCCCACAGTTCGTTATCGCCGAGACGATGACCAACCCTCCGCCGCGCGCAGCCACCCCGCAGGGACAGGTTGCTCAGGCTCCGCAGCCGCCTGCCACGCCCCCGTCCGTCATGACCACGGCGCCCTCGTCTCCTGTGCCGCCGCCGGCAAGCACCGCCGCCCCCGGCCCGCCCGCCACCACCCAAGCTCCAGCCCCGCCCACTGCGGGCGTCGCAAATCTCCGCGTGGAGTAGTGTACCTTGCTTCTTGTCCGTTGTACGTCTGTAGTTGAGGATTCGCGTCTCAGAGATGCGGATGGGAGGGCGGCCGTGTGTTGTGGTAATCTATAGAGTTGCGTATGCTACCGTGTTCGTGATAGGTGCGGGGGACCATCGTTGTTTGACTACGACTGCACTGATGCGGAATTAGATGGTCACACGACCGAAGTGCGTCCATGGTTGCATCTTCCATCTCCTTCGCATAATCTCATAAACTCAGCCTTGCGCACCCGGTCTCCCCTGTGCACTGCCACAATCCACCTTTGCTCCATCCTGCTCGCGTCTCACTTCTTTCATCGCACCACTGCTACCTAACCGTCCAGGACGGTCTCTCCTGCGCCAGGTGGTGTACAAAGCGGGCCGGGGCCCGCCACGGATAACGGAACGACTAGAGATGAAACACATGAATGGGGAAAAGGAGGAGGGCAAAGAAAAGAAAGGTTTAAAAGTCGGCTGAAAATGTACAGTGCGACATGGGTCGGGATCGGATTCAGATGGATTCAGTTCGGTCGGATAGTGGTGGCATGATCTTCTTCGCTTCACAACTGGACAACTCGCACTCGCTCGTCGCTCGTTGCGCCGCCGCGCGCTCAGCTCAGCTCAGGCAATTAAGCGGCGGGGGCCTGCTGGTTGGCGGGGCAGTTGGCGTTGATGTGGCCGACCTGGCCGCAGCCGTAGCACTGGGGTTAGAGATGCAAACACACGAGACTCACAGTGCGGCCCTGCTCCTGGGGGCAGTCGCGCGAGATGTGGCCATCCTGGCCACAGTTGTAGCACTTGCGCGAGCCGAAGCCGCCGGCGCCGCCGGCACCACCGCCGAAGCGGCCGCCGCCGCCCGAGGGGCAGTCGCGCGAGATGTGGCCGACACCGCCGCAGGTGTAGCACGACTTGGAGCCGAAGCCGCCGCCGCCGGCGCCGCCAGCGAAGCCACCGCCGCCGTAGCCGCCGCCGTAGCCGGCTCCGTCACCGCTCTCGGGGCAGAGGCGGGCCTGCGGTTAGTTTGGGGAGAACAGGCACGAGCTCACGATGTGGCCGGGCTTGCCGCAGCGGTAGCACTCGCCGCCGGCGGGGCCGCCGAAGCCAGAGGCGGCGGGGCCCTGGGGGCAGGCCGAGGAGAGGTGGCCCTCCTGGCCGCAGGTGTAGCAAGCCTTGGGCTTGGGCTGGGGGCACTCGCGGCTGAGGTGGCCGGCCTGGCCACACGAGTAGCAGGTGGGGACGCCAGCGTCAGGGCAGACCTGGGCGATGTGGCCGGCTTAAAAGTTAGTTGAGATGTCATGACGCAGGGCGCGTGTTGATTGCGGGAATTGCGGGGTCGCAGAGCCATTAACATGAGGGAGATGATCGACATGTGCATGTGGTCCGCCCCGACCGGGCCAGCCACTCATAGATATGAGCAGGGAGACGGTGGGGGAGAAAGGCGCTATGTACTGGCTAATAGCTCGCTCCACGCCTTCGCGCTCGCTCGCCACACCCGTACACAGCACGACACACGACGGGGATCTGCCCCGGCGATGACACGACCCCACAACAGAAACGCAACGACATGGCAGCAGAGCGGCAATCCCACACGTAAAGGAAGGCCCCCTGCTACCAGTCACACCACACACCACACCACACGCACGCTGGCCACAGTTGAAGCAGTTTCCGGAACGGGGGGCGCCGTACATCTTGATGTCTAAGGTGGGAAAGAAGAAGAAGGCAAGTGTGTTGAACGAGGGGGGCGGGGCGGGGCGGGGCGAGATACAGAAGAAATGTGTCAGCAGGATTTCCTCGACTTTGGCGGGTGGCGGGATACACTGGTAAGGCGTTGTGGAGGCGCACTCCGAAGTCTACGCTCAGAGTAGTGGGCAATGTCCCGCTCTGGTGTATCCCGGCGGTGGATGCTCACCTTGTTGTTGATTGACTGGGATGGTTTTGAGGTGTAGAGGAGAGAGGAAAGGATCGAGTGGAGGAGGGGGGATATCAGGTGGTCTCTCAAGCGGAGTATTGAAAGCGGCAGCAAATATAAATTCAACCAATCCAATCCCCCCTCGTTGTGGGCTAATCCCTCCGGTCCCTCCTCGGCCTCTCTGGGCTCTGGGGTGGAGGGCACCCACTCCCCTCAAAAATCGCTTCCACTCATATCTCCGACCCTCCGGCGTGTGGCACTTGGAGTTGGTGGCACTTTGGCCTCGGGCACCTGTGTAAGCAAGTCCCACGCATGCTCCGCAACAGCCTCAAACACCACTCCATCAAGCCCTATCTATGCAAATGATCAAAGGAAGTAGCTCGCGTAAGCGCCGCACGGTGTCTCAACTCACCGGTCGCCAAAGTCACCCAGGCCCGGAGTGATGTACTGCTTGGCGTCAAGGCCCTCGTCGACCCAGGCCGTGATGACCTTGAGCTTGGGGAACTTTGCCTGCACATTCTTGATGCCCTCGGGGGAGGCGATGAGGTTGAGGAAGAGGATGCGCTCCTCCTTGACTCCCTGCTCGAGGAGAACCTCGATGGCCTTGAGGCACGAGCCCCCGGTGGCTGGGGTTAGTGGCGGATATCCCACCAGCAGAGTCACGACTCACCCAGCATCGGGTCCAGGAGGAGGCAGTACCGCTGCGCAATGTCGTCGGGAAGCTTGGCGTAGAAGAGCTTCGGCTGCGCCGTCTCCTCGTCCTGCCATCAGTCTTGCATCTCCGTTTCTTGACTTACACGCTGGATCAGAATCTACACGGCGCGTCAGCATCGCGCATCACACATCGATAGCCGCTTACCTTGCCGATGCGGACTGGCGTCAGCTATATATCCACCACGTAATCGCGCGGGTACGCACCCGAGCGGCAGCAGTCACGCAACCCGGCCTCCATAGCCTCGCCCGCTGTCGTCAGCACCAGTAGTCGGTGTCCGGTCGGGTCCTCTCTAACGCACCGCGCATAATCGACACGCCGCAAATGCGGCCCTCGAACGCGACGCCCGGGAACTGCACGCCCGTGGGCGTCTTGACCGTCTGCGGCACAACAGGGAGGTGGTTGAGGCCTGCGGTCAGCCGGTTCCGGCCTGCGGCCTGCGGCCTGTCACATACCCTCCTCGACGAGCAGGCGGATGATGCGGTCCGAGTAGCTGGGGTTAGGCTTCGCTGCTGCACACCGCAGCCGGCGGATGCGCGCAGGCACAGGCGCGCGCGCTCGGCGCTGCTCACAAGACAAAGTCGCCACTGCCGTCAGCAAATTTTGCCTCCGCCCGCACCCTCACCGGCCGGTCCTCTCGTCGCGGATCACCGTCAGCAGCGCTTGCAGCTGCGCTGTGGGGGGCAGGACGATGATGTTCTCGCCCCACTTGGAGGCGCAGGACGTGGCGTTGTGGGCCATGGTGCTGGTGCGTATGGGCGGGGGGTGGGGGTGGAGTGGAGGGCCTCGTGTGAGGAGCTATGTCGGCGTGCCGGACGCTAGGGCTAGTTCGACGCGGGATTAGGGCTGGAGATGGAGACGGAGATGTTCAAGCTGAACGATGCGCGCCGGATGCCAAGTGTTGGAGGAGTAGGTGCGAAGGTGATCGGGTGAAGCGCGTGAAGCGCACAAACGGGGACGATCGAGGTGCGACGACGTCACGTCACATGGGCGCGGATGGTCGCCGGCCGGTAATCTTGTAATCTCGCTCCATAGGATCCAAATCTAATCCCACCCCACACCGCGGCTGTTCTTTCTTTTATCCAATCCTGTATCTGTCGCTATCACTCGTTCTTATCGTCAAGGACGCCGTGCGCCGTTCTTGTGGCCGCGGCTACCACGCCATCGACAACAGCACAGCGGAGGCGCGGAGGGTGATGCCGCTGACTTGGCCGGCGCGACGGTCGTCCTCGCCCCTCCTCGCCTCACCGACTATGGACCATGTGCCGTGGGCTGCCTGGCGCTCGGACCTCTCACCTCAGGACGTATCACCGGCGCTCGGTCGGCACAACCCACCAGAACATGTGCTCGCTCGCAGTATTATAGCTACTCTATCCCCCGCCCCGCCTCGTGCATCAGCACACCCGTGCCGCGTCATGCACCTTGAGGCTCTCGAGCGCGCGCGTAAGCTCGTCCGCGTCGAGTGACACCTGCGCCTCCTTGGTCTGGCGTCAGCCCGTCCGTCCGCTCACACACCCCATGCCCCATCGCCGCCCAGCCTGCCGCGACGGCGTCGTCGTCCGTCGAGAGCTGGGGAGCTGGGTCAGTCCCGCCTCCCCATTCCTTCCGCTCTCTCGCCCCTACCCACCCTACCTCCTCACTCACCCTCGCCCTCGCCCTCACCCTCGCTGCCACCCGCCCCCGTCCCCGCTCTCTGCCCCTCCCCCTCCC